ATAACGGAGGAACACGTGGCAACTTTAGTTTTTTTTTTGGGCGCCGTTTTGGATTTTGACATTTTGAGATTAGGTTTTTTTTTCTCTTTACAACGATATATCACACATGGTGGTTCAGTATCACATTTTTTCTAAAAATACAATTTTCATTTTCTGCGAAGAGTGCTATGCAAAAACAAAACGTTGTTTTGTTGTGAACAAAATGTTGACCTATTTCAAGCAGTGTCATTTGCGTTTGTGCTAGTTTTATTGCTAAAATATTATTTATTCTTATGTCTTCTGTTCTAATTTGAATTATAATTTTCTTTCAAAACGAAGGTTAAATTCTGTTCATATGAAAATCGTTCCTTGATGCCAATGCTGCAACCGGACATATGCATCGAACTGTCAAACTTTTGTTCACAACAAAAGAACGTTTTGTTTTTCAAAAGCACTCTTCCCAAAAAATAAAAAATTGTATTTTAGGAAAAATGTGATACTGAACCACCATATGTGATATATCGTCGTAAAGAGAAAAAAAAACGTAATCTTAAAATCACAAAATTAAAAATGGCGCCCATAAGAAAAACTAAAGTTGCCACGTGTTTCTCTGTCATCTTAAAAGTTATTTAAAACGAGATGTCACATTCGAAATCTCCATTGAAAAGTGTTCGAATAATGTGTTAATTAGAAATGTCTAGTACGACTAGTTTATCATGAAAAAATTAAAAACGAAAATCAGAAAGTTTCGTTTTTTTTGCGATATTTTCAGAACTATTGATGATATTTTAAATTTCTTTTCAGATGGTTATTCAGCAGGGAAATTCGCAACTTTGCCCCCATTTAACCAACTTTCTATCTCTTAAGGTAAGCGAGATCCCCATAGTGGCACTCGAAAAATGGACACCGTGTATAGATACAGTCGTGGTCACAAGTATTTTTAACGTTTGAAAACACCTTTTGATGGAGTCCCACAAATTTCACATCAACTTAGCGAATTTTTTTTTATTTCTAATACTATGTAGCGATAAAAAGCGGTACATTTTTTTATTTTATTTATTTTTTTTTTAATACTACTTCTATTTTCAATATGAACTGATAGCAATTTGGATCTGGCCTCTCAAAAAATAGAGGATCAACCTCGGAATCTGTTCAATCACAGATTAATCTGGGATTAATCTAAAATTAAACAATATTAATTAAGTAATTCATGTAATAAGTAGGTATTAAGACATCATTATTATGCATAGATATAAAGCAGGTCAATTGAGTAAGGCATTAAAATGCAAATAATAGAATAATAGTATCGCTGAGCTAGGTAAACAAATGCTAGAACTAGGACAATAATTTTGTATCTAAACGTGTAAATATTATGAATAAACCAATATTATAGTTTAGGCTGTTCTTACTCATTTGGGGTGTAAGGTTCCGAGTCTACAATTTGGCACAGTGACGGGTGCCGCTTTACAATCTACCCCAAACCTATCTTGATCTCATACCGAGATTAAACATGGTCCTTCGAGCCGGATTAAACAGAATCGATAAATTTTACAACTGAGTTTAGGACAAAAAAGCGAAGTCATCTTGCCGCATGAAAGATGTTCGGAAAAATTCTCCATGAGTTGTGCATAAATATAAATAAGTAATATGCTAAATGTACCATTATTATTTTTTGCAAAGTTAAGAATTTATTTGAAAATCGGTATATGTTATACTTTTAATCATTGTAACAGAATTTTAAATGTTAGCTACCATTTTTATTAAAAAAAATACATTTTTTTGTTGTAAAATAATCGATTATACTGATTTTTAGTAAACCAATGATCGAGTTAATAAGTAATCAATTAACATTAATCAAATACCTAATCGATTAATCAATTAAAAGAATAATCAAAACCGATTAGCGATTATCCTTTGATTATAATCGATTAATCGAGTTTTTTACCGAACGCTATTCCGGACACGAATTGTCCGGGAGCGAATTATTCGGACGCGAATTGTCAATTGTGCATGCGTTTTCAACCCTTAGGTACGCAATTCTCAAAAAATGATCAAAGTCCTCGTGTGAGATCGAAGGGACTTCAGCGCATTTTTGTGTGGCAGATCAGTGTTTTATTAGCCAATATTGACTCCACCATCAATAAGATCTTGCCGAAAGCTACCACGTTCACTTTGTCGGTACCATTTTCTCACTTACCGTGCACTTGCAATTCGCGTTTGAAGTTTTGACTCCACCATCAGTAAAATCCTTTGGGGGTTACCATATTCCCTTTGTCGACACCCACTTCTGATCACCCGCAACAATTCGGATTTGAAGTTTCGACTCCACCATCAGTAAGATCTCGTCGGGGGTTACCACTTTCCCTTTGTCGATACACAGTTCCGACGTCCCGTTCATTCGTAATTCACATTTTGGTAGATTTCGCTAAAATCCCGGCATAAAATCGTATTCAACTTTTGGGTACTTCACATAGCTCGACCTTCTATTAGTGACACGAGAAAGAGAGACCGCGATTCGCGCTGTAAGAAACTTTTGGGCGCCCAAAGTCGACTACCCCTCGAAGCGCGCCGCGCAAAAGGTGGTTTATTTCGCCCCTAGGAAAAAAAACAAAATTCCGCCACGCAGGAGTTGTGCGCGTTGACAAGATCTTCCCGACGACACCAATTTGAAAACAATCGGAGAAAAACTGTAGAAGAAGATAGATAAAAACTGAAAAATCTCCAGGTTAGTATAATACGCTCGGGGATGGCGTCCAGATGTCGTCGACTCCAAATCTTGTAGCCCCATCCCTAACGTTCTTAATTACACGGCCCCGATAGTTACATGTACACTCCTTGTCTTTTTACAAGCGTTTTTCTACGGGCGCGCATTTACTGCCAGCCAGCCAGCCAGCCGACCAGCCAGCCAGCCAGCCAAAGTGAGATTAAAAGCTACTTTTTACAAAAAAAATTTTTGCAAAAATGCGCTAAAAATGGCTCAACCAGTATTGCACTTTTACTGGCGTACGTTTTGTATTTTACCCGAAATTGTATTTTAATGTAAAATTTCAATTTTCATATAGAACTTTTGATTAATGTCCGAGTTAATGTCAATCTGTCAGTGATGACAGGAGTCAATATAGACATTTAGAAATGTCACAAACGCGGTCGGTAAAGTGACGGTGCGGCCGGTAAAATGACAAGCGGCAGTTAACGTAGTCTGCTCTGCCCAAACTCAATGGCTCTGCCTCTGTCATGGAAACTAAAATTTCCTAACAGAAAGTGGGCATGAAACTGAAGGTTTCAGGACGATTTTGGGTAAACTTACATCATTGAATTCAGAAAAACACTTTAGGTAGCCATTATTGCTAGGCCATTCTCATACTAAATAAAAAACCTTGATTAATTTGTTGTTTGTTTTAAAAATTAGCAAATTCTATTTACAATAACGAAATATGCGTTAACGTTCGTTAAAACCGAATATTTTAGTCGATACGTTTTCATCCCGTTTGTACTAAACTTGTCCAGTAGGTACCTATTATAATATACTGATCACGTGATCAGTTTGCCGTTGTCCCGGTTAAGCTAGGAACTTAACGTGTAAGCACTTATAATCCAGAAATTTAAGCAGGCCTTGGTGTACAACAATAAGATGTTTATAAATAGGTACACTTAGGTGCAAAATTTAAAAACCATTAAAGACATAAAAACATTTTTAAAAAATCCGTTGTTTTAAAAGGTTACAATAAACTCACCTGATCAAAGCAGTCCCTTGAAATCTGAAACAATAAAAAAAATATAGTATGTACCAATAAATAACCAAACATAAAAATATGGCAGATCAGCCTCCTAGCTCAAACCAAAAATCGCAGTTTTGGAAGAGTGTTCAAAAAATGGTAAGTGCAGGGAAAAACGTTTCATGCGAAAGTTAGCTCTGAGGTGCACCACAAAAACATTTTAAAGCACTCCTTTCTCGAAAATCAATTACCATACAGTTTTTTTTAAATTGCAGCTGATAATTAAAAGTAACAAAATATACAATCCACACGAGGTGCGTCGCCTATCATTGTATTTCAGCACTTTCATGCTACGACAAAAAATGATAAATTCATTGTAAAACACTTCAATTAAAACAGAATTTTTTAACAACCTAACATCAACCCCAATTAGAGAAACGTGTTAATAATTTATTAATAGTGCAAGAAACTAAATACAGCACATACTTATAAATTTCCAACGGGCCATTATGATCTATACAGGCCAGGTGGCAATCGCCACCCGCCCCTTCGGGCCAGTCCGCCCCTGGTACCTATTTTTTATGACTGTATAATATCGTTAAGCTGATATGGATCTTAGACTCAGTTGAAATGATCTATTGAGAGCTATTATTAACGGGACTCTGCCAAATAAAGACACGTGCACAAAATGGACCTTAGAAGTAGACCCTGTGTATACCTAAGGGGTGTGCGGAGGAGAAAGTCACTTCTGCATATTGTGTCATACTTGTGAGGAATATAATACTTCCAGACACAGGTTCCTGGGGGGAACATCAACCCAGGAATGCTTCAAAGTCTAACGAAGATTCTGAATTTTTTCAGAGAGGGAGTGAGGATAAAGTTAGAGGGTATAATAGGCCCCAAGACTGCAGTACAGGGGCTAAGCTAAGATAAGATACAGGGGGTAATCTGTTCATAATATAATTGTCAAATTATGAATAAAAATTAACCTGTTTTAGGTATTGTCCTAATTATTCCCTAATACTCCTAAAAATTAGTCAAATCACATTTACTAGCTACTGGTATTTATTAGATTTGTATAAATTGTTTGCTTTACATTGGCAATTGCTACTGTTTCGAATGGCATTAGGCTATATAAATATAGGACAAAATTAAAAACACTTGACCATGAATGAGAAAATTCAAAAAGAATTTTCTCATTCTTGGTCATCTGCAGGTGTTCCCTAGCTATGCCGAGCTCACTTGGCATTGGTTTCCACATGCACACTGAGTCACATGTTCCTGACTTACACACAAATAAGAATGTTAACATAAAAAAGTGTTTTAATAAAGCCTCAATATAAAATACTAGATTTAAGATTCAGCAGTGTAATTAAAGTGTATTCAAGCTATAATAAATAATTGATCTTAAGAAAAAATTAACAAAAGGCCATTAATTTTTCTTCAGGGGTCTCCTTATATGGTGATAGTTGGGCAACATCTTTGACAGTGTATCGATTTGTGCAGTCTGTGTCTACAAAAAACAGTTAAAGATCTGTCAATTTTCCGATACTACATACCACAGGGCGATCTAAACCTTCCCTTTGAAAACAGTTACTGCCGTATATTATCGTATTATCCTTTAAAGTCTGTTCCTCAGTTATTCTACAGCCTGCACCAATAATGCAACCGTTTGTCACATTAACTTTGTTACCAACAAATGATTTCGATTCAAATACATTATTGCAACCAATTTTGTTAGACGCTTCTACTGCACAATCCACCTCAAATACGTTGTGCGAACCGATGATTAATACTGGAGCGTTCTCTTGCTCGGCGTAATCGAACGGCAGCCTATGAATGATCTTGGCTTGTTCCTCGACCAAACAATAATCGCCTATCACAATCGGTCCCGCTTCGGCCACGATTGCGGCGCAGGGGTGTATAATTGAATGAGATCCAATCGTAATGTCACCTTTCAGTTTGGATTCCTCGCAAACAATCGCACCGGGCATTACTTTGATGCTACGAGCACAGGGGGTGAAGTATATTTCAATGCAAACGTTACCTACTTATTCTTCGAAGACATTCTTTCGGTTATAAATTTCTAATCAGAAAACACCAAGTAAAAAAAAAATATTCAGAATCTAAGGTTATGTCTTCAACTTGTCAAACTTGATTCTTATAATTCCTTATTCTCATTTTACCTAAAGCGCAGTTGACAAATAATGTAGTACAGGGTGCGTCACAGTGAATTACCTCAAAGAGAAATGCCATTACACTCGTGCGTATGTGCCTTAAAACATGCAATTAAAGGACCTTCAACGAGTGATTAATTTAATTATGTACGTTGTTTCACAGTCTATACCAACAAAAGTATGTCGGATTGACGCTATTGACTGACAAATAATTAACGCAAGCTTTGTGAAAAGCTTAATGGTATTTAAATACATGTCAAACGCGTCTTATTGTAAATTCACAATTATATTATAATTTTACTGGGTATGTAAGCTATCTTAACACGACGTCAATATAAGTTTTATTTTTGAAAGTTTTAATAGAACACTAAACTGATGATTTATAGCAAATTTTAATTGTAATACACGCATATAAAAAAATGCTTATAAAAACAATTCAAAATAAAGATCCATTGCCTATTGCCATTTAAAAAAATTTAAGATTTTCTCTGCGCTTTGTTTGAAAATAATTTTTGTAACTACTAGATCATGTGATCCCGTTTTTGGACATGGTTTGAGATAGTAGTGTTGTACATTAAATAAATGGCACCAAATAAAAATACATATGAATATAATAGAAATAATGAAATTTGCTATATTGCTGTATTTCCAAATACTGCCTTTATCAAGAAAGTAAATGAAAGAAATATTAGGGAATATTATTGACTTTTTTATTCTTCAAAGATGTAAAAACAAAGGAAAAAGTATGCCTCACATTTTCACTGAGAGGAGTTTCCACAGCTGATAAAAATGTCAATAACGTTTCAGGTGGCATTTAAGGTTCTCTATTACGATACGACATCAATAACCGATTGGTATCAAATTCGGTACACATATTTTTAGGCATAAAAGGAAGAGCGGAAAAGCTTCTAGGCAGAATGCGCATGCCCAGGTGTGCGGGTGGTATCTGTGCTAGCCACAGCAAATTTTTTCACAAGGATTGTAGTCTCATCAGTAATCAGTTTATGATGCACAAAAAAATTTGAACAAATTTTATTTTTCGGCGGGTCTGTATGGCGCAGTGGCGTAAAAACGCGACTGTGGTACATACTAAGGGTCCCTGGTTCGAATTCAGGTTCTGACATAGATATTTCTACATGTATGATGGGTACCATAACTTAAAAAAGTCCAAAAATAAAAAATACTTTTCAATTTAGTCAATATTTGACGAGATATTTGAAGAAATATATAGGAAAATTTTCGGAAACATCCGCATTATAATTTCACAAACAAGAAGAGAAACTAGTACATCAAAATGTCACACAAAGCGATTGCAAAATTAACGAAAACTTACAGCTCGGAAGAGATAGGTATTAACGTGTAGGTATATAAAAACACGTTACAATCATAAATTCCTACCAAATAATAGCGCAATTAGAAAACATAAAAAGCTGTGCTTTCTTAAGTAAACATCTCTAATTACCAGTTCTAGACAATGCAGGAAGATTTACATTTATCTATACTGCATGACATGTACCTGGAACGTTTACATACCAGGAATATTACAATTACAACATATCATTACTTGGGGAATAAAAAATGTAAATTGATTGAGTATGTGAACCTAAATTACAGTTTATATCCCTTATGTTTGCATGCAATTAATGTATCTACCCTTTGCATAACAAATTGCAGTGTGATTACTGCATTGAAGCGTATCCTGCTCACTTCAAACTTATATTTTCATAAATGTTGTAAGAGGACTATCTACAGAGTTGTATAAAATAAATTTTCATGAGAAATATCACGGTCGAGGGGTCGAGGAGGAAAACTATGGATGGTAGAAAGTAATTACTTTCGTTGAGACCTTTCATTAGAGTACCATGAAGGGTAGAACGTGTGTTAACACCCCCCCCCCCCCCCCACTATTCTTAAAAGTTTAACTTGGCACCAATTGGTTGTATGTAAATGTTATGCACGTTTAACTTTTAAAAACAGCATCTCAGTTGAAAACGGCAGAAGTGGGTCCGGACGGATGGATGGACAAAACGCAAACAATAGCACATTTTTTTCATTCTTAAAAAAATTTACTAAAAATGCCACAATGGCCATTCTAGAAACGGTAAGAGATACAAATTTGGTTACATGGGAGAAAAGTTGCGCAATTAAAGGACCAAAAAATATCGTTAAAAATCCCCAAAACATTGTTGATTTTTGGAATATTTTAGAGAAATCGGACTTCTTTGTTGACCGCCATACTTTAACTACTCTTGATAACGTGTAGGCTTGATAAAAAGAGAACCAATACCGACCGTAGCGGTCGTATTTAATTTAAGTGACTATTGAATCGACTGTGTAGCTCGGTGGTAGAGCGTTGGGCTACATAGCCGGAGGTCGGGTGTTCGAATCTGGGATGAGATAAAATTTTTCATCAATGGCAAAGATGGAAAGTTCCTTAGATCAGTAAATACAAGAGTAGTATAGAACAATTACTTATGTAATTGAGCATTTGAGGGCCCAGAACAAGAGAGGGACAGTAAATAAATAAAGAATTGATAAATATGGCTAAATATTGATGGCTAATTAAAAAATCGTTTCCATTTGGCACTCGCGATTCTGCTATAAAACAATGTTTAGCGTTATGATTTGATACAGCGTATAAAAGGGGATGCCATTTAGGTTACACATTTAAGTCGTAAGGGTGTATGCAGCCAGTTAATTGCGGGGACAATAGCTGTTGACGAGTACACAGAAAGTCGCTTAGTTTCAATACTTCAACTGCCCTGAATGTGCTTTGTGCATAAAGTCAAAAACCATAAACTTCGTTTACATAACAAATAATCTTAAAAACCACTTAATCGAGGCAATTAAATGCGACCGCGGCGGCGCTTGATAATTTCAAACTTCAGAATTTGTTTAGTGGTAATTTAGTATTTGAGAAACAAAATTAGCGACTAATGAACGAAGTAATTACAAGTTTTGGAATAATAAATAGTTTATGGTAGCGTGTCTTTCATAGTTTCGTTGAAATATTTATGACAATTCTACCCCATTTTTATCGAATTAGGGTTTAGTTGTGGTAGTTATCGGGTAATTATGGTGATAGCTATTTGATTTGGTTATTATACTTACAAATAAAATTAATAATCAATCAATTTAACCGTTTTAACGGCAAATTTACCTACCATGCTTATTGAACCTTTTAAATTACTAGGTATAGGACAAAAATGTCTGTATATAATAATTTTATAATTACATCCTCGTGCTTTACGTGCATCCTTTGTCTATCAATTGCTCGCTTTCCATATCCAACGCTCAATTAAAATTTTATTCTGAATTTTAAAACATCCCCTATTTTTAATCGAACTCGTTCTATTCGCAAAACATTATCTATACACCGGATGCGTCAATTTTTGGAATAGCATTCCAAAAACCGCTTTTTCTTGTACCTGTATTAGGCTTGTTAGATGGTAGATCTATTGAAATCGTATAGGGGTGAAATTAAGATTGATCAATTGCTAGGTAATATCCATATATATACAGGGTGGTGACTTGCGTAACGCAACATAGGGATTTCAATGTAACATTCATAACATGCGCTTATTGGCTCCCCAAATTATTTTAGAGCAAAAATGTATTAAGGTTTTTTGTAGAAAACAATTTTTTGCGTCAATCAACCGTGTTAGTTTTCAATTTTTTGCATAATAAAGACGGAAATTTGGAAAAATAAAAGCCCCATCTTTTTCAATAGTCTGTGATGCCATGGAATTTTATAATACAAAAACTACGCCAATATCCGTCATGCCATGGAATGTCTGCTATAAAACAAATGAAATTCTATCAAAAAGTATTATAATTTAGAACAGCGAATTCAACATAAAGAAAGAAAGACCAAATTACTAAAAACGGTTTCCTAATATAACAATTTACAATAAATGTTCGAATAAGTCACCATTAACTGCAAGACAGTAACCAAGTCGATCATGAAATCCATTTCGAACTGCTGCTAATTGATAACTGGATATCTTTTTGTTTTAGAAAATTCCATGGCATCGCAGATTATTGAAAAAGATGCGGGTTTTATTTTTCCAATTTTCCGTCGTTAATGAAAACAAGTTGTAAATCAGCATATGCATGATTAAAGCGCATTTTTGGTAATGCAGGTCAGTATTTTATTAGCGAAGTTTAAAATTATCGATCTCACGGGTAATTTTGGCTGCGTTAAATAATTAATTTTATTTAATTTCAATTGACGGTACGTCTTCATTTTGTAAAACAAATCACAAAGTAAATAATAAGTTTTTATACTGTTAGCGCTATCTAACGGTAAAATTATAGCACCTCCGAAACCCATATCGAAATTATTTTCTTCAATTATCGATCTCACAAGTAATCTAACTCAAAATAGACTAGTGCCTGCACATCTACACTATAGCAGAAAGCTTTTAGTGAAAATTTGAAGTCTCTAGCTATGTAGTTGTGGAGATCTAACGCGGACAGCCGGCCTGCCAGCAATGACGAATATAATAGCGTATTTTTTTCAAAAATGCGCTAAAAATTGAAAACTAATACGGTTGAATGGCGTAAAAAATTTTTTTCTACAAAAAACCTGAATACATTTTTGCTTTCAAATAATTTGGGGAGCCAATAATCGCATGTTATAAATTTTACATTGAGATCCCTATGATGCGTTATGCAAGTTACCACCCTGTATAACTATTCAAAAAATCACGTGTTGAAAATGCCTTTTTTTCATGAATTTGCTTGATTAACTCGCTGCAAATTCATGAAAAAAAAACATCACTTTCAAAACTAGTTGTACCGGATGGCCCAATAAGACTGTTCTTCGGTCATTTGTCGGGAACCGTTCGTCGTATGACTGAGGGGTAAAAAAATTATTGGTTGTTGTTGGTATGTTATTTGGCTACTTTTTCATAATGAAAAAGTCATATCATTCCATTTGATTTGTTTAGGATTTTGGGTCATGGTGTCTAAACTAGCCCCCTGA